TAATAAATCTGTGAGACATATGAGAATTAACAAAGAGCACACAAGGCATAGTACAAATTTGTAAGTGTTCTATTTGTACCTAATAATGAATGTAGAAATTAATTACAATAAATGGAGATAAATGTTTGGTTGTGACAATGTAATTTTATACATATGAAAATTTTCCCTAAATAAACTTAAACATTTAAGGCAACTTCAGTAGAAATTTCAGTTGCATTTTTTAATGAGAAAGTAAAACTTCTACTAAAATATTTACATGAAAGCATAAAGATCCAATAAATGGAACGCCATCCTCTATTGAAAACAAAAATTACAGATGTTAAAAAATGAATCCATTTAAAAACATAATGTTTGGTGCATGAACATGATATAAATCCTTGGTCAAGTGCTGGTGGCTCACACTTGTAATCCTAGCTACTCAGGAGGCTGAGATCTGAAGATGGAGGTTCACAGTCAGCACTGACAGGAAAGCCTGTGAGACTCTTATCTCCAACCAACCACCCAAAAGCCCGAAGTAGGGCTGTGGCCCAAGAGGTAGAGTGTTAGCCTGAGCAAGAAAGCTCAAGTACAGCACCCAGGCCGTGCAGGCAAGCCCCAGGACCAGTGTGCACATGCGTACACACACACACACACACACACACACACACAAACACACACACACACACACACACACACACCAATTACATGCCTAGAGTCCCACTTTCCTGGCTTTCAAAACCAGATGAATTATTTATGTAATAATTAAATACAGAAAAACATCCATTGAGTTTACTTGTTAGAATAGCACAAAAGGAAACACATCCTAATGGTTAGTTCCTTTGTCCTGCCTACAAACATTGCCTATGCACATTGAAAATGTAACTATATGAATCTTGGCTGGTTTCAGGATATTGTTCAATTCAGGAATCCTCTCTCTAAATAAACTACACTGAGTTTTTAAAAATCCTAATTAGGTGAAGGAGAGGATGAATAAGTATCTCAATTTCTTTATTTATTTAAATTTATTATTTATTTGCCAGACCTGGGGCTTAAACTCAGGGTCTAGGAGCTATCCCTTAGCTTTATTTACTCGAGGCTGAAGTTCTACCACGTGAGTCACAGTTCCACCAGCTTTTTGGCAGTTAATTAGAGATAAGTGTCTCATGAACTTTCCTGCCTGAGCTGGCTTCAAATCTGGATCTTCAGATCTGAGTTTCCTAAGTAGCTAGGATTACAAGTATAAGCCACTGGCACCCTGCTAGGTATTTTTAGTTTCCTTAAGAGGTTATTGGAATTTATATATGCATATATGATTTAGGTACGTTTATGAAAGTGACCACTTTTTATCTGCAGACCAGCACACATTTGGTATCAGAAGAATAGCAATTTAGGTGTGTTCTGTTTCAGGGTTAATGCACTACAGTTTTATTCAACCTGTTCATGAGTTTAATTGCCTTCTGTTATTATTTTTTATGCAAAAAATTTAGCCAGACACAAGTGAATCAAAGCAATTGCATATAGCCTGCTTTCCTTCAAATGAGAACAGGTCTAGCCAAATTCCAATGGCTCACGTCTATCATTCTAGCTACTCAGGAGGCTGAGATCTGAGGATCGCCATCTGAAGCCAGGCAGGCAGAAAAATCTGTGAAACTGATCTCCAATTATCCAGCAAAAGGATGAAGTGGAGGCATGGTTTAAGTGGCAGAACTTTGAGCAAAGGTAAAGGACAGTGTTGTGAGTTCAACCCCCAGTATTGGCACAAAATAACAATTTAACAATTTTTTTTCAAAAAGAGAACCAAGAATTTGTTTATCTGCTGTTAATAATTTATAACTGTCTATTGATCCCAATTATCATGGTGTGCTGGCTGCGCAGATTGATTTTGTGGTTTTCTTTCTGAAGGAGGTTCATCTGGACCCACATATGGTGGAAGAAATTCCAGAATGCTTGGGCTGAATATCAAAAAAGAAAAAAAAATAATTTGTAAGAATTCAAAAGCTTAAAGACATCATGGTAAGTAGGACCCAGGCTAACTAATAATCTTTACTGCTTTCCTTCCTGCTCCCCGCGCTGCTACCTGCAGTCCTTTCCTCAGGCTGGCTTCTCTACCCGCCTAACATCAGGTACCTACCAATGCATCTTTGCTTTGCTTTGCTTCCTTTAGTGTGCCACTACTGGGGCTTGAACTCAGGGCCTCAAACTCCCCCTTGGCTTTTTCTGCTCAAGACTAGTGCTCTACCACTTGAGCCACACCTCTTCTCCCAACTTTTTCTAGTTAATTGGAGCTACGTCTACTGGATTTGTCTGCCCTGGCTGACTTTATCTGGTATCCTCAGATCTCAGCCTCTTCGGGAGCTAGGATTACAGAGGAGAGGTCACTAGCCATCTGTAGCATTTATTTTTGAGTTAAAAAAAAAGTTACAACTTGATCTTTTTTTTTCCCCTTTCTCAAGATACAGGTACAGACACCTTTGGAAAGTTTGCATTCTTTTTTAACAGAGAACAATATGGGAGAAAAACAAAACAAAACTGGACACTGAAGTGGATCAGATTGTTTTATACCACGGTTAGAAGGAAACCAAATAACATCAGAAAAGATGCTACTCAAATGACTGTGGCCAGAACCACAGTAATTGTAGTAACTGAAGTAATTTGGAGTGCGCCTGAGACCTTTATTTTCAATTAGCCACCCAGAAATCCAGAAGGAGAGCTGTGGCTCAAGTGGTAGAGCACCAGCTTTGAGTACAAAAAGCTAAGGGACAGTGCCCAGGCCCTGAGTTCCAGCCCCAGTGCACAAAAATCCATCTATAAATCAACCAAAAATTATTTGCTTAAAAAGAGCAAAGAATTCATGTTAATCTTCTCCACTTATGTCTGCTTAAATTCCTTTTGTCTTGTTCTATTAATGAAACTTCTTTTTCCACTTTGGTTAATTTTAATATGTCATATTGCATATTACTACATTGAACCACATCTCTTAATAAATCTTTTAAATCTCTTACTTTTTATGTTGTTCCCCAAGACCTCATATTTTCAGATCCCTCCCTCCCTCCCTCCCTCCCTCCCTTCCTTCCTTCCTTCCTTCCTTCCTTCCTTCCTTCCTTCCTTCCTTCCTTCCTTCCTTCCTTCCTCTCTCCCTCCCTCCCTTCCTCCCTCCTTCCCTTTCTTCCTTCCTTCTTTCCTTCTTTTCAGAAGGCTGAAATCTGAGGATTACCATTCAAAACCAGTTCCTGCAGTCTGTGAGACTCTTATCTCCAATTAACCACCAAAAAGCTCAATTGGTTACAATATCAGCCTTGAGCAAAAAAACTTGAAGCCCTGACTTCAAGCCCCAATATCAGCCCCCATCCCCAAAAAAAGGTTGAAAAAAGTAGTGTGTACATCACAGATCTGCTGTGTAGTAGATAGAAAACAAATAAAGGAACCAGGCACTGGTGGTTCATTCCTATAATCTTAGCTACTCAGGAGGCTGAGATTTGAGGATCAAGATCCAAAGCCAGCCCTGGGAAGGAAAGTCTGTGAGACTCTTATCTCTAATAAACTACTCAGAAAAAGCCAGAAGTGGTGCTGAGGCTAAAGTGGTAGACTGCTAGCCTTAAGTAAAAGAAGCTCAAGAACAGCACCCAGGTCCTGAGTTCAAGCCCCAGGACTGGCACCAAAAAAAAAAAAAAAGAAAGAAAGAAAGAAAGAAAGAAAAAGCAAAAGCAAATGAAAGATCTGAATCAAACGTTGGCCATGGTGGTTTCCTCTCAGAGGGAATTGGGAGCTGTCCAAGAGCCCTCTCCTCTAAACTTCTGTATTGTCTGAAGCATTTCCAATGCTTATCGATGTAGCATTTGCATAATTTTAAAAACAGAGGAAAGGGAGAAGAAAAACAGGGAACTTCTGTAAAATCAACAACATTTTTGACAGATGGTCTAACAGAACTATCCGAGGGGAGAAAACAAAGCCCACAAGCATTAGGAAAATAACAAGGAAAAAAATATCAGTTAATTTAGAAAATACTAAGGAAAGGAAAGGAGAGGCAAGAAAAAAAAACCTAAGTAATTAAAATTTTAAAAATGACAAGCAGCAGATCAGAAAGACCTTGAGAACTGTTCTCTGTGACCATAACCTATTAGAGCTGTGATTTAGGAAGATCATTTTGTCAAAACTGGAGCATCACGAATCTCTTACAGCTCTATTTTGGAGCGCCTGAGAGGCATCGTTACACTTCAACCCCCAAGAGGAAATCATCAGGAGCCAACAGAGATTTAAATATCCTCCGAGACAAGTGTTTTGCTTGCCAAGTTTTAGGGAGCCAGGATTCACTTATGATGAACCAAGAATGCTGAGCAGAGAATGGATTCTCAAGATCAAGGCAGAGACCAAAGTGGTATCTGCAAGTCAGATTTTTATTTAAAATTGAGCTTTTTTTTTTGGGGGGGGGGGGGTGGGTCCGGTCATGGGGCCTGAACTCTGGGCCTGGGCGCTGTCCCTCAGCTCTTCAGCTCAAGGCTAGCGCTCTACCACTTGAGCCACAGCGCCACTTCTGGCTTTTTTCTTTTTGCTTATGTGGTGCTGAGGAATCGAACCCAGGGCCTCATGCATGCAAGGCAAGCGCTCTACCACTGAGCCACCTTCCCAGCCTGAGCTTATTTTTTTAAATATTGTTGTATTGTTATTTCTAAGGAGTTATACATAGGGGTTACAATTCTATGAGCCGGGTAACGAGTACATTTCTATTTGAACATTGTTACCTCCTCTTTCATTTCTCCTACTTTTTCCCCTCCTGACTCCCTTCACTCTCAAAATGTAAAGTTCATTTCCAACATAGTGTCTAGTATCACTTCTAAATTGGTCCACTCTTTGTCCCACTGTTTCTGTATTTCCCCTTCCCTTCTCCAAATCAGATAAACTTACATGCAAGACAAAAAGGACAGAAATCAAAACCAGTGATTAAAAAGGCATAAGCAAAGGGAAAACAAGAAAGAAAAAAAGAACTGCAAAAAGTACAATTAAAAAAACACTTGTTTCCATTTAAAAATATGGAATGCTTCATGAATTCGCGTGTCATCCTGTGCAGGGGACATGCTAATCTTCTCTGCATCATTCCAATTTGAGTATATATGCTGCTGAAATGAACAGCAGACCTTTATTTTCAATTAGCCACCAAGAAAGTCAGAAGGAGAGCTGTGGCTCAAGTGGTAGAGCACCAGCCTTGAGTGAAAAAGCTAAGGGACAGTGCCCAGGCCCTGAGTTCCAGTCCCAGTACCTGCACAAAAATCCATCAACCAACCAACCAATCAATTGCATATCCACCAGCAGCTCTCTGGATATTAAGCTGTCCATATTTAGGAGCTTACCTTAGCCTCACACATTTTCTAGTAGCTCATAAAACTCTTTCTCACACACAATCTTTGCTGGTTGTCATCACAAGCCTGAGCTTGATACTATTGGTCTTAATATATGAGCTGAAGAAACAAACTTCCATGGAGCAGAGCCACAGTTTCCACAATGAAGACCATAGCAGATGCAAATCTGTGCCTCTGACTCACATGTTCCCTGCCATATTAATTGTCCAGGCAGAGATAGATTGTATATTTCATCTTTCCCTGAATATTGTATAAGTAGATAGTTTGGACAGAACAGATCTAGGGTAGATAGTATTATAAAGTAAACTTTAAGAAGCATATCAAAGCTAGACAATAGTGGATCATGCTTATGATCCTGGCTACTCACAAGGCTGAGAGCTGAGGATCATTGTTCCAAGCTAGCCTGGACAGAAAAATCTGCAACACTCTTATTTCCAATTAACCACCAAATGAGCTGTGACTCAAATGGTAGAGTGGTGGACTTGAGCAAACAAGGGCCCTGAGTTCAAGCCCCAGGACTGGCACTGAAAGGAAAAAATGGAAGGAAAGAAGGAAGGAAGGAAGGAAGAAAGGAAGAAAGGAAGAGAGGGAGGGAACCAATGGCTCACGCCTATAATCCCACCTACTTAGGAGGCTGAGATCTGAGGATTGTGGTTCAAAGCCAGCCTGGACAGGGAAGAGACTCTTATCTCAAATTAATCACCAGAAAACTGGAAGTGGAGCTGTGCCTCAAAGTGGTGGAGCACTAGCTTTGGGCAAAAGAAGCTCAGGGACAGTGCCCAGGCCCTGAGTTCAAGCCCCACGACTGACAACAAAAGAAAAAGAAAAAAGGAAAAAAGCATCAAAGCCTACATTTAAGATATACCCCACATTTAAAGAACAGGAGGCCTGGGTTTGTAGTTCAGTGCTAGAATGCTCGCCTAGTAAGCATGAGGCCCTGGGTTCAATCCCCAGCCCTTGGTGACTGAGGGAAAACTTTAATGAAGAAGCTAAAACAAAAGAAGTAGACCAAGAAAATAGTGTCTCAGATCTCATGCTGAGACAAAGTGGTAGTGCCTGCCTATAATCCCCGCACTCGGGAGGCTGAGGCAGGAGGATCTGCAGTTGGAGGCCATACACAATAAATACTGGAGTGATAGTAATGTCTGTATCATTTAAAACAGTTGAGAGTATTTCATTGTATTGTTAAGCCTTAATTTACTTAGTTATTTAAGTCACCTCAAAGATGATATTTTCAATTTTTTTCCCTTTGGGTTATTTGATATAGGGTTTCACTGTGTCTCCAGGTAACCTCAAATCTGCTATCTTCCTGCCTGAGCCTCTCAAATGCTAGGATTACAGGTGTGTATTACTAATGTTTGACCTGACATTTGATAATGAAACAATGTCGTAACAAATATCCTCATGCATGGGTTTCTTTTTTTTTTTTTTTTTTTTTTTTTTTTTTGTCGGTCGTGGGGCTTGAACTCTGGGCCTGGGCGCTGTCCCTCAGCTCTTCAGCTCAAGGCAAGCGCTCTACCACTTGAGCTACAGCGCCACTTCCGGTTTTCTGGTGGTTTATTGGAGATAGGAGTCTCACGGTCTTTCCTGCCCGGGCTGGCTTTGAACCGCGATCCTCAGATCTCAGCCTCCTGAGTAGCTAGGATTACAGGCGTGAGCCACCAGCGCCCGGCAGCATGGGTTTCTTTTATTGTGATAAATATCTTTTTAAAAAAATTGAAAGTGGGGCTGGGAAGGTGGCTCAGTGGTAGAGCATTTGCCTTGCATGCATGAGGCCCTGGGTTCGATTCCTCAGCACCACATAAGCAAAAAGAAAAAAGCTGGAAGTGGTGCTGTGGCTCAAGTGGTAGAGCGCTAGCCTTGAGCTGAAGAGCTGGGGGACAGCGCCCAGGCCCAGAGTTCAGGCCCCACAATTGACACTCAATCAATCAACAATTTTTAAAATTAAAAAAAAATTGACATATGAACTCTTGAATTTGTTGTGCCCAGGTCACAGGGCCCCCACCAAGAAGACCACCGAGAGTCAGACTTTCCAGCTGTTTTAAGGTTTTATTTAGACGGGCTGCAGCTTGGGCCTGGTCCTACACTCCGACACAGCGGAGCCTAGGAGGAGAGCCCCGAGCTACAGATTTGCAGGGCTATAAAGGCTCACAACCAACCAGGTGTTTGGAGCACCACGTGTTGCTCTGCTAGACAGAATTTGCTGATCTTAAACAAGCAACAAGTGGTCACTGCCTCAAAACTTTAACCCTTCAGAATTTACATCTAGAAAGTTGGTGCCAATCTCCCCGCCCCGCTTATTCGCAGAACCTGAGCACCCATTTCAACACTTGCGCATCAATAATGAATAATAATCCATTTCTTAACAGGCAGATTGCTGACAATACCAATGGGTTTTGCTTTATTATTATTTTTTACGAGTTTAATTACTAATGAGATTGTATAATTTTAAGGTTTTATTTTATTTTACTTTTTGGTTATCTGCTTTTTGGAGAATACGGTGTGAATCCTTTGGAGGCTGAACAGCAGCAAACACCAGAGCCTGTTTTTAAGGATTGCTAGATCCTCAGACCTGCGGCTTTGTTCTGTACCCTTCCCACCCATGCTGGTAGGGAAGCATTGGGTTTCCTCTCCTCAGAGTTCTTCATTATTTAAAGGATGGGATGGAAAACTAGCGGATATCTGAGATGTCAGGAACAGAGCCTCTGTTATCTCTTCCTGAGAGATAATTTCTAGTCCTTCCTCACAGTTCATCCGAAGGCTGCTCTGAATACACCACAGATTATGTATTTTCCTACTAGATATGAAGATGTTCCTTTGCTTCAAACTTGCAAGAATACATTAGATATGAAGCGTTAACTGGAAGTAATTTTCAAACAAGGCAGTCAGTGTACTTCTTTTTCTTGCTAGTGGCTAAGAGAGAAAACTAAGAATCTCAAACTTTGTTTAGATGGATGAGACTTTGAAGATGGCAGGCAGGGATGTGCAGAGCTGGAATCCCAGCCTGCATTACATAAATGCTCAATAAAGCAAAAATAACTTTAAAGATCGCTGCAGTAGAAAACCTTTCCATTGCTCACATTTCTCTTCTGGGACTTCTTTCCTGCTTCTCGTGGGTGAAGTGTACATGAATGATCAGGGATGGAGTGATCTGCTCCAAACAACCGCCTTGAAATGAGCCACCCCAGTCCTTGCAGATGGAAAAGTCTTTCCTAGCTGGATGGACCTGAAGGCAAAGAAAAGATTGGACACTTGCCTAGTATGTGCAAAGCCCAAGGTTCAGTCCCTGGGACCAGGGAGAGACAGACAGACAGACAGACAGACAGACAGACAGGGAGGAAGGAAGGAAGGAAGGAAGGAAGGAAGGAAGGAAGGAAGGAAGGAAGGAAGGAAGGAAGGAAGGGAGGGAGGGAAGGAGGGAGGGAGGGAGGAAGGAAGGGAGGGAGGGACGGAGGGAGGTAAGGAAGGAAGGAAGGAGGGAAGGAGCGAGGGAGGGAGGGAAAGACAAGGAAAGGAAGAGAAGGGAAAGGAAAGGAAAGGGAAGGAGAGAAAGAAAGGAAGAAAGGAAGAAAAGATATTTAGCAGCCACTTGTTTTCTTTGATCACATGGCTGTTGAAAGAAAAAGCAAAGCATAGTCATCAAGTAGAAAGAAGGTAGCAAATAAATTATAGAAGATACTTCTTTCTTTATGATGGTGTTGCAGGCTTGAGTTCTCCATCTCTTCTCTCCTCTCTTTTTCCCTCCTTTTCTCTTCTTTTTTTGGGGGGGGAGGGTAGGTGGGGGGCTTGAACTCAGGGCCTGGGCCCTGTCCATAAGCTTTTGTGTTCAAGGTTATGACTTGAGCCGTAGCTCCACTTCCAGCTTTTGGGTGGTTAATTGGAGGTTAATCAGTGTCTCAATGATTTTTTTTTTTTTTGCCCAGGCTGGCTTTGATCTTGGATCCTGAGATCTCAGCCTTCTGAGTAGCTAGAATCACAGGCATGAGCCACAGGCCCCCAGCCTCTCCTGTCTTCTACCTCTCAATCTCTCCTCCCTCTCTCCTCTTCCTGTGTCCCCTCCCTTCTCCTGCCTTCTTTTCTCTTCCTCTCTCTTCCTGCCCTTCCCCTCCTCCTCTTCTTCCCTTCTTCTTTCTCTTTCTTCCATTCCATTTTTCTCCCTTTCTCCCTTGCTCCCTTTCTCTCTTCCCTTTTTCCCTCCACTCATCCATCCCTCTTACTGCTAGCTAGAATTCATGTTCACTGCTTGAAATTCTAAATAACACAAGCACTCAAACCCCTTTTTCTACCACCCTCAGTGAAAATAATGCACTTATTATTTCAAACTGGAAAAGGTCATATTCTCTCTCCTCCTGACCTTTGCCCATCTGCTTTCTTTTCTTCAGCAGAATAAAATACTTGCAAACCATTTACTACTAAAGGATTATATTAACTTTAAATCTGAGCAGTTCAATTAATAAATATAGTCATTTAATTGTAGGAAAATGTTATTATATGATTCCCTTGGGTATTCTTCATGTCCAAAAAGAATTCTAAAGCTGGGTACCAAAGCTCACTCCTGTAATCCCAGCTGATAAGAAGGCTAAGATCTGAGGATCACGGTTCAAAGCCAGCATGGGAAGCAAAGTCCCTGAGACTCTTTTTTTTTTTTTTTTTTTTTTATTTTATTTGAGAACATACTGTACAGAGGGGTTACAATTACATGGGCAGGATAATGCATACATTTCTTACCAAGCATTGCAGCCTCCTCCTTTGTTTACCCTTCACCTCCCTTCC